AGATGGCTAATATGAACGATAGGGATGGGGACAGGAGCGAGCGGTGACACATACACGCACGTACGAAAGAAAGAGAGTAAGCGAGTGCGGGGAGAAAGATTAGACGAGAGTGAATTGGGTCAAACGGAGAAAGAGCCAGAGAAAGCGAAGAAGTGAGTGAGAGGGGAGAAGAAAGAAAGCTATATAAGAGAGAAGCGAGAAAAGTAGATACACAGAGACAAGAGGAGAGAGGGCGATGGTAGTGGGGTCGAATAGGGAGAGAGGGAGATACAGGTATAGAGAGGAAGAGCGCTAAAGACACACAAAGGGAAGAGAGAGGGGGCGAATGGTAGAGTGAGATAGGGCGCACGATGAGGTTTATATGAGATATACAATTAGAGAGAGGTGGGTGGCGAGAGAGAGAGAGCAGGAGAAAGGTCAGAGCAAGAAAAATACTGTGCGAGAGTGTGTGTGTGTGTGTGTGCGAGCGCGCGTGGGTTCGTACGTGCTTGAGTGCATGTGTGTGTAATGCTGTGGGGGTAAACGCAACAATAACAATCCATATCGATGTTGGTATTTTATTTGATATTTTTGTAAAATCTCTCAGGCATATTTAAAAACTAACAGCGGCAGATAAACAAACGTTCTATCTAGCGTGGACAACGGAAAGTCCTGACATCAAAACGCCATTAAGCCCGGCGCACACGTGAGTTATTTTACTCAAGTAAAATGACGCATGAGACAAATTACGCAACAAAAATCCGCCGCACACGTGAGTAAAATGACGCATGCGTCAAATTACTCAACGAAAATCCGCCGCACACGTGAGTAAAATGACGCATGCGTCAAATTACTCAACGAAAATCCGGCGCACACGTAAGTAAAATGACTCATGCGTCATTTTACTTGAGTAAAATAACTCACATGTGCGCCGGGCATTAACCAGCATCTGGGAGTTTTTCCGAAAAGATCATGCACAGAAAAACTTTCAATCTCGAAGCAATTACCATTTGCTTGCAGAAGGAAGCCTACATGTTTGCACTCGAAAACCATCTGCATAATTATGCAAAAGTTGCAATTAAACGGAAGGCTATCGTTGAAGGCATCCATTATGTTCTAATGACATCGTTTACAGGCCATTTTCAGCAGACATCCGCATAAGATTTCAAAGAGTATGTAAACACATGTGGTTTTAAGCAAAAAACAGGCGCCCACGCTATTCAGAATGCGAACGAGTGTATGTGTGTATGTGTGAGTGGGTGTGCGTGCGTGTGTGTGTGTGTGCGCGTGTGGGAGCGTGCGTGTGTGCGTGTGTGTGTGTGTGCGCGTGTGGGAGCGTGCGTGTGTGCGTGTGTGTGTGTGCGCGCGCGGCGGCTCTTT